CAGGAACGGGATGCTCCATTTTGTATTTAATCTTTGATAGTAGTTGATCATATTTGAATGTTGTGGCTTAAGGTCTTGGTCTAATGGTAATATGAAAAAGGAACCGTCTGAGGTGATGCTATGCAGTACTTCACAATCATGTTTTGGAGTTGTTTATAACTATTTAAATTATAAATTGATTGAAATTAGTGTTAGATAAGTAGGTAGTACTTGTGATTTGTGAATCTCAAGAAATATGTGGATAACAAGTTGTTTGACTGATTATAAATAGGTGCTAAACAATAATTTTTATTTATTTTTTAATTTCTCCTTTGCTCCCTTTCATGCAGTTTACCTGTGCTGGTTATTTCATTTCTTGTTATTTTAGGCCTACATGTTCTTCTGAATGCATCAGTAGTAGTGCCTTCTCTAGTAAATTTGTCTGGCGACCCCAAACCATGTCAATTGGTTCTCAGAGAGTTTTCTAACAGGCACCTCTTTGTTTTACCCATTTCATTCCTTATACTAATGTCTCTTGTTTTACCGCAAAATTTGTTCTGACATTCTCATAGCTGCGACAATCAATTTATGTGAATGTAATAGTCTAAAATTTTGCCTCCTATAAATGTACTTATTTCTTTTGGTTTCAACGTTCTGTTTTGTTGGAATGTAAACTTGTAGCCAGCTTTTTTCTCTTTGGTAAAATTCTTTATTGCTTGTCTAACCTTTTGTTTTCACATTCGCGGGGAATAAACAATACGTCAAATCTGAACATGGTTGCAGGTTATATATTCTGGTGCAATTTTAGAGGTCTGCATGAGGAAGCTGGTCTTTTATCCTGAAATTGTTGGTTTTATCGAGGAAGAGAAGGATAAATTTCCGACTGTGAAAGTTCAGTACGCCTTTAATTCTCCACCAAAATTGATCATGTTGGATGATGATGAAAAACCGAAGGAAACTATCAGGTTGGCTTTATATTTAGATTGTTTGATCTGCTTATTTCCAAAACGTTAATGTCATATTTGATAAGGTAAACCCTAGACAGCGTGTTTCATAGCCACGTGCTATAATTCTCTGAGCTACAGCCCCCACCCCGTCTCCTCTTCATTTCACCGGCCATTTAATTTCGGGTGCATTTATCTCTACAAGAATGGTGCTTTCCGAGGTGTTGGGACATCATAATTGGGGTTCTGGATTGATTTTATTTTTTATATTTTGTTGAAAAATGAACAAGAACGAGAGTGAAGAAAAAAACTTAAAAATCTTTTTACACCGTGTTAAATCACATCATAATACTGCGTACTAAACATCCTGTAGTTAAAATTTCCCTTCATTAAATTTATATGACGGATCATACATGATAGTATAACGACTTATTTAGCTGCAAACTTGTTACTTAATTTTGATTGCTTCATCATTGCTGTCACATTCACTTTTCTTTGCTGTTCTTCTGCAGAGTCGATAATTGGAAACGAGAACACATATTACAGTTTCTGAGGGAGAAGGTTGAACCATCATCAGACATTTAACGTAAGAAGTTCCCAGGTCTTGTTTTGGTGACTTTGAATGTCATTCTTGAAGTTCCTAGGCCTTGTTTTGTTGACTTCGAATGTTATTCATACTTAATTGGTATCGACTGGAAAAATGTATGCTGAAACCAAACCATAAGACACGGACACACTTCTAAGATCACTTCTACTCTCTCAAGAGTCATTTTTGCAAGATTGAGGATTCATTTGACAGCTCATGAAGAAGCTGGTTATTGTGTTACATGGACTTGTTGAGTTTGGTACGAATATGTGCTATTTAATGTAATACAAAAGGGGTATACTTCTATTTATTTTTCTTGTTTTTCCCCATTGGGGTAGGTGGGTAGGGTTATATATTTGAGTTGTGTTGGGTTCGACTGTAGAGGCTCGTGACTCACTTGAGCAGGCCGCATAAGCTGGTATAGAAAAAATGATGAGCTCTCGCCGAATAGCTCTCCTAGGCCTTTTGCATGTCCAAGCTGACTTCCTCGGCCGAATGGCACTCAGTTGCATAGTCATTGGCTTCAAACCTAACTTTTATCGGGGGATAGAAACTTACCATTCCTAGTGTATTAGTGTCACTACTTTAGAGATCCTCTTGCTACAAAACGCTTAGCACAATTGGTCGGGTAGCCGACACTGCGACTTATTATATCAAAGTTTCAATTTTTGTTCTTCGGTCTAGGAAAATTAATTCTCGATCAACATACAGATAGTGTCTATCTATACTTCTCTATGCAAGCACCCAATTTGGGTCTAACACATCGATCAGAGGCTCTTTGCCATATGCTCAATACTAATGCAATTTGTTTAAAGACTCGAGAAAATAATCAATATTTATTACATAACATTCAAAATGCTAGACAATTACATTGTAGTTCAACTTTTGGGCACATATACCAACAAATTACTACTGTGGTTACCTTGGAGAATATTGTAGACGTCGTAACCTCAGTTATTGTCGAGTTGCAATGGTGTGACCTCCGTAAAATAAAATAAAATAAAATAAAATAAAAAAGGGTTGGAGGGCTCGCACTGCCTCGCCCTTGGAGCATCGTGAGGGAGGTAAATCGCGAGATGTGCCCCGGTAGGTCAGGGAATAAGAGCTTGTCCGTACACTGGTGCTCACAAAGAGTCAAATTTCATATATTAGGAATCGAACTCTTACATTGCGGTTGCCAGCAAGGTTGAGACTACCTCACTCTTATCTTTTGCACCGATGGATTATGCCCCGAGGGACAAAACAAAACCGTGAAAAGAACTTTCATTAGCATCAAATATTGTTGAACACAAAATCCGAAGTTGGTCAAATGATATATATTAAATTCAAGCAATTCTCCTTAACTCTTAGTGCAATGTATAGAATTATTCCAATTAAATTCATACAATAACTATAGCAATTCAGCGCAATGTATAAAATCCAACTAAATTAATACATTAATTACAGCAATTCATTTATGTATTATAGAGTTATTTCTAGTACTAAAGGCATCTAATTAAGAATTATAATTAAAAAAAAAAAAAGTTACAATAGAAAACATAATTTCAAAGATTAAGGTATTCTGGGTTTGAACTCTTAGGTGTTGAACTCAATGTTATATGCAAAAAAATCATGTCACCAACGAATGCAGTTACTGTACTCTTAATGAAATTTTATTTTGGAAACTCTATTGACGCAATGAGCAAACAAGAATGCATTACAAATTAATGTTTGGTAATTAAACGTCAAGAAAGCCCAAAAACTTCGGAATGTCAAAACGTTTTCCTATTCGAAGGTCTTGTTTTTGGTCGTGTAATGGATTTGCTTAATTCTCACAAGGTTAGTTTTGGTTACGATGAATTGAATAGGACTAGATATAAAATTTTTAAGTTTTATAATGCATTTTTCTTGTTTTCTTGTAGTCATTTTTGTCTATTCTAGCGTGCTGTCAATTTTTCTTTTACATTTTGATGCGGGAATAGAAGATTCATATAAATTTCAAATATTTATGTTGTATACATTGATGTTTAAGCAATGAGAATTCGAAGTATTACTTTAAAAAAAGATGTATCATGGAATTTATGAATTATTTTATATTAATTCTATTAAATTTGACATATTAAACATCTTTTAAGAAATTTAAAAAAAAATAAAAATAAAAATTCTCGTCTAATCTTTCAGAGTTAATTATTTCAGATAAAGAGTTAAAGGGAATTAGGTGCATGGAGCATATCAATTGTGAATGGCAAGAAGCCCTTCTGCCAAGACAATAGTGAGATACATTCAAATCACAACTTACTTTATGGCCATTCGTAGGACTCATTATGTTCAAATATTTTAATATATATATATATATATATATATATATATGACCTAAAAGTGCTATGTCATGTCTTTCAGACTTTCACATATTCAAGTTCACCTTGCACAAGAAATCTATGAAAAAATTATATTAAAAAAACTGTTGGAGAGGTATGTACTTCGTGCAATTCAAAATCTCAATAAAGTCAAGATAAAGATTGTTTAAGACAATATTTAAAATGATATTGGTGTTTGAGAATTTTTGGATTCATGATTGTGCCCACTTATTTAGTAAAATTGGTAAATGGGTTATTTGTTTGATGAAAAATAAATTTAGTCGTGGTGTACCGATGATCATATATAATATATGTTCTGTATTTATGTTTAAAAGTTCTATCGTTAATCATTGGTGTTTTGATACCAATTTGGATGACACTATGTGATTGATTCAACTGAAGATAAAATCACGTGGCTCATTTAATTGTCTCATTTATTTAATGCTACTTAGTTTCATCTAAATTAGTGTTATAATACTGGTGGTGCTAAATAACATTATTCTTCAACTTTTACATGATTCCAGCAGATGACACAATACAAATCAATGAAACACCGTAACATTTTAAAGAGGATTTCTATCTGAGTATGTTGAAATATAAAGAATTTTATTTTCATACATTCGAAGAATATTTCCAAGAAACTTTCTAACATAATTTGTTTTTCATTCTTACTTATGTCCCTAACGGTTTTTTATGTTATTTTATCTCCAAAAATCCCATTGGACAACAACATTTTATATATGATAACAGTTTTATGTGCGAAAGTCTGTTGAAAAGACATAAAATGACTTAATTTTTCATCATATTTTTAAAAATAAATAAATAAATAAAATATGCTATAAAATATTTTTCTCTCATTTCAAAGCAAGAAAATAAAATACTTCGATATAAATCATCATCAAGATGAAATGTATTAATTAATGGAAGGTTGAAAATAAGAATTTAGCGACAAAAAGTTAAGAAAATAATTATTACAATGAATAAAGATTAAAGAGCTTAACTGCAATTAAAATATGGTGAACAAATAAAAATTATGATGTCAATATAACCATCATTTTTATAATATAATACACCACAATTATTTACAAGTAGACCCTTAAAGGCTAAAATAATTGAAAAATACCACAAGGAAGCGAAAAGAAGGAAATGATAAAAATTAGACTTTGGCTTCTTCCACCTCCATTCAGACAATGGCATCTACACATTTCTCTGGGAACTCATCTCTCTTTGCTGCTCAATTTTTACATATATTTTCTGCATTTTTGATCAAACAATCCCACTACCGGTCAGATGACTAAGATGATGATGAATAATATGATGAACGGGCAGCACGATGGCAATGAATGCCTGTGGTAGCATGGACCAAATGCGAGAGGGGGTGATTTTCAAGGTCCCAACATCGAGCACATGGCCGGAAAGCAACATTTGGTGGCAATGATGATGAACCAACAACATGCAAAAGGAAATGGAAGGTTTCAACCATCTGCAGCCACCTTACCCGTACTCTCGTCGTCCAGACGAACAATCAGACCAATACTCAAGCTGTTCTTAGTTTTCGATTAATGGTTTTTGAATCAGAGGTTTGGGGCTGGAGTGGCGGGACTGGGTGTTTTGTAGGGATAATATTTTTTAATTTCAGCATTAATTTTTGTTAACCAATACTAAAATAAAAAATTAATAGTAGGATTAAAACAAGAGAAAGTATGAACTAGGCAAAAAAGGAAAAAGGAAAAAAGGAGAGAAAAAAGGAAGATAATGGGAAGTGGGAGACTTGTTACTTAAAAGAGTGAAATTTAAATGGTTATTTATGTCATTTTGTTTATGTCCGATTTAGTAATTAAAAAAGTACTTAAATTTGTGGTGTAACGAAAAACTTTTGTGGTGGCAATATAGTCACTCCTTAATACAACTTTCGAGAATTGAGACCAATTTTTCGATTTGCTCTCAAAATCTTCGTTACATAACATAAAAATAAGCTTAACCTTTCAAAATTAAAACCTTTAAACTTTCCATTTTAGATTTAATTTTTCAGTTTTAACAGAAAATTAAAACATTAATTTTTATGTTGTAACTCATATTTTGATGGATTAATTGTTAGGTTGAATTTGTCACTTGATAAGGGAGTGATTTTCATTGTTTAATACATAACTTGAAAACACAAGTGAAGGATTATCTTTATACATTTCATATTATATTTATATAGTTTTGACCATTCAATAAGGCTCGTTCTTTATCTCCATGTATCTGTCCATCGGAGGAGAATCAATTGTAAGCTATAAAAGTTTTATCTTTGAGTTTTTTAATACAGAAAGCACCCATACCAAAGGAAGGTCACACGATTTTAGGGCAATGTTAAGGATGAGTATATGTAGAAGGTTTTGGAAAAGGATAATCCAACAGTTAGATCTATCTCCTCCTATGTAACAATATTTTCTTGCTTCATAAATATGTTTAATTTATTCGTTAAATGATAATTGATCAAACAATTAAGCGCATCTGACTAAATTGGATGCTTACTTAGTAAAATATAGTGAGACGTAACTTATATTTTGATCGAGAACTAGCTGTGTTCATGATTGATGAGCAATGTTTGGCACCTTCTTTGATAAGGGTTTAACATCAGCTAGCTACTACACCAATTCGGTAAGCGATTTGTCCTAATCACAAAGTAGTGATTTTCATAGTGGTGACGCTAGTGCTTTGTATTGGATGATATGTTGGAATTTAATATTCTATAATATTTCCAAGCGAAGAATTAAATTCTACGTGACTACCGTATGGATTCCCAAAATCCATTGACATGATAATATAATATTCATAAGCTTAAAAGTTCTTTGATATATCAATGATTGATATCAATTGAATTTTCAAATATCTTAGTATGTTGAGAACTCGAGAGCAAGTAGAGTAGTGATACCAGGGTTAGTGTTGGGGAATACACCGATTATGTGCATATTATATTCACAAAAGCATA